CGCTCTTCATCGCGCTGCGTGGGCCTCTCACTATCGCGGCCTCTCTCGTTGCGGAGCACAGGCTCCAGACGCGCAGGCTCAGTAGTTGTGGCTCACGGGCCCAGTTGCTCCGCGGCATGTGGGGTCCTCCCAGACCAGGGCTTGAACCCGTGTACCCTGCATTAGCAGGCAGATTCTCAACCACTGCGCCACCAGGGAAGCCCACCTCAAAGTAATTTTAACTTGCATTTTTCCCCTAATTATGAAGTTGACCATCTTTTCACAAGCATAAGAGCCATTTTTAGTTCCTTTCTGTGAACTGTCCATTTTCTTGGCTGATTTTTCTATCAGGGTGGGTTTCAATATTTGTTTATTTGTAGGAGTACTTTGTATATTAGCTAAACCATTTGTGATATGTGTTGAAAGCCTCTGCCCAGTTTGTTTTATTTTTATGTAGTGAAATGTATCAATCTTTTCTTTTTGGTTTCTGTGATTTGTCTTACTTAGAACACCATCCCCAATTCAAAATATGAAACGGTCATCTTTTGTTTTCTTCTGTTGCTTTTATGGTTTAAAATTTTTTTTTTCCATTTAAACCTTTAATCCACCTGGAGTTTTTCCTGATGTGAAGTATGAGATAGGGATCCAACTTAATTTTTGTTTTTTCCAGAGATGAATGTTTGGTTGTTCAGCACCATTTAACTGAATTAATCATGTTTTTAAAATTTTTATTGAAATATAGTTGGTTTACAATGTTGTGTTGGTTTCCGGTGTACAGCAAAGTGATTCAGTTACACTATAATGCACTTTCTGGTCTCTTCCGTTGTTCAATCTGTCAATTCATATATCAGTGTCACTCTGTTGTAAGTGTTGTAGGTGTACAAGCTGTTTGAATATCTGATGAGGTTACTTCCCCCTCCTACCTCTTGCCCTTATTTTAAAATTTTTTCCAAAATATTCCGACTATTCTCGTTTATTTTGCATTCTTCATTCATTCGTCTATTCATTCAGTCAACAGAAGCCTGCTGTGAGCCAAGCACTGCCCTGGGCATAGTGAGGTTGGGGGTGGTGGTTCTCTAGCGACACTGTCCGTGGCACTTCGGGTCTCTAGTGAAACAGACAGGAAAGAAGCAAAATGAAACCATGGGGGAGGAATCAGGGTGCCCTGACCTGTCTGGGAGTGAGGCTACATTCATGGTGGCAGCAACAGAGGCCCAGCAGGCAGTGGTAGTCGTTGAGTATAGGGGGCTGGGGATAAGAAAGGCCAGACCTCCTGGGGCCTGGAAGGCCAAGGGGAGGTTTTGGGCTTTCTCCTGAGAACAATAGTGCGGGGGTGGGGACCAACTTTTTAAAATTATTCTTTTAAAAAGTTTTTATTATGAGAAATTTCAAAACATAAAGGTATAATAATAATTCCGCCATGCCCCCAAACCCCTGCTTCATCAGTTAGCACTGGTTGGTCACAATCTTCTTTCATCTGGAGTTTGCTAACACTTTACCCTTTCTGTATGATTTGGAAGCAAATCCTGGCTGTTGTTGGTGTTTGTTGTTGGTGTTTGGCTGCACCACGTGGCTTGTAGGATTTTAGTTCCCCAACCAGGGATTGAACCCAGGGCCTCGGCAGTGAGAACGTGGAGTCCTAACCACTGGACCACCAGGGAATTCCTGGACATGGTATTTTTTAAAATTTTATTGAAGTGTAGCTGATTTACAATGCTGTGTTAGTTTCTTCTGTACAGCAAAGTGATTCGGTTATATATTAATGTATATATGTATATATTTTTTTTTCCATATTTTTTCCATTATGGTTTACTACAGCATATTGAATATGGTTCCCTGTGCTATACAGTAGGACCTTGTTGTTTATTCATTCTTTTTTTTCGCGGTACACGGGCCTCTCACTGCTGTGGCCTCTCCCGTTGCGGAGCACAGGCTCCAGACGCGCAGGCTCAGCGGCCATGGCTCACGGGCGCAGCCGCTCCGCGGCATGTGGGATATTCCCAGACCGGGGCACAAACCCGTGTCCCCTGCATCGACAGGCAGACTCTCAACCACTGCGCCACCAGGGAAGCCCTATCCATTCTTATATATAATATTTGCATCTGCTAATCTCAAACTCCCAATCCATCCCTCCCCCACTCCCCCTCCCCCTGGCAATCACAAGTCTGTTCTCTATACCTGTGAGTCTGTTTCTGTTTTGTAGATAAGTTCATTTGTGTCATATTTTAGATTCCACATGTAAATTATACCATATGGTATTTGTCTTTCTCTTTCTGGCTTAACTTAGTATGGTAATATCTAGAGGTCTATCCATGTTGCTGCAAATGGCATTATTTCATTCTTTTTTATGGCTGAGTAATATTCCACTATATATATATATATATATATATATATATATATATATATTTGTAAATAAGTTCATTGGTATCATTTTTTAGATTCCACATGTAAGTGATATCATATGATTCTTGTCTTTGTCTGGCTTACTTAGTATGATGATCACTAGGTCCATCCATCTTGCTGCAACTGGCATTATTTCATTTTTTTAATGGCTGAGTAGTATTCTATTGTGTATATATATATATATATATATATATATATATATATACCACCTCTTCTTTATCCATTCATTTGTTGATGGACATTTAGGTTACTTCCATGTCTTGGCTGTTGTAAACAGTGCTGCTATGGACATAGGGGTGCATGTATCTTTTCAAATTAGAGTTTTGTCTGGATAGCTGGATGATATGGTAACTCTATTTTTAGTTTTTTGAGGAACTTCCATACTGTTTTCCATAGTGGCTGCACCAATTTACATTCCCACCAACAGTGTAGGAGGGTTCCCTTTTCTCCAGGCCCTCTCTGGCACTGGTTATTTGTAGACTTTTTAATGATGGCCATTCTGACCCGTGTGAGGTGGTACCTTGTTGTTGTTTTGATTTGCATTTCTCTATTAATTAGTGATGTTGAATCCCCACAAAGCCTCTTTAAAAATGTAACTTCTGGGATTTCCCAGGTGGTCCAGTGGTTAAGACTCCCAGCTTCCAGTGCAGGGGGCACAGGTCCGATCCCTGGTCAGGGAACTAGATCCCGCATGCCGCAACTAAAGATCCCACACGCTGCAACAAATATCCTGTGTGCCACAACTAAGACCCACTGCAGCCAAATAAATATTAAGAAAAAAAAAAAAGACTCCGTGGTATCACTGTTGAAAGCCTGGGTTCAATCCCTGGTGGGGGAACTAAGATTCCCACAAGCCCTGTGGTGCGTGACCAAAAAATAATAATAATAATAATATTAATAAAAAATTAATTTTAAAAAGAAAGTAACTTCCACATCATCCTCATTCCTGAGAAATAGTCCTAATAAAAAGAAAAAAAAAAAGAAATAGTCCTAATAACACAGGAAGGGTTTAAGCAAAGCATTCTCCCTGCTCTGGGTCTCTCTGTTCTGTTTTCTCTGGCCTCTGCCCTTTGCTCTCTCCTCTCTTGGCCTTTCTGGTTCTTTTCTCTTTTTCTCCCCCTCTCTGTGCTACTAGGTTAGTCTCTTCCCCCACTCTCTGCCTTTTTCTGTGTCTGTATCCCTGTGTATCGGCCTCTGTCCCTGGCTGGCTGAGCTGGTCCCCGAGCCCTGATCGCCCGCCTGCCTGTCCCTGCAGCTCTTTGAAGGCATGAAGGCGTTCAAAGGCAGGGACCAGTGCGTGCGCCTCTTCCGACCTTGGCTAAACATGGACCGGATGCTGCGTTCGGCCCTGCGCCTCTGCCTGCCGGTGAGCGGGTGGGAGGGGGAGCGGCGGGCTGGGTCCAGGGTCGCGAGGGCCCCATGACACATCTTCATCCCGCCCAGAGTTTTGACAAGGTCGAGTTGCTCCAGTGCATCCGCCGGCTGGTGGAAGTTGACAAGGACTGGGTTCCCGACAGCTCTGGCACCAGCCTCTATGTGCGGCCTGTGTTAATTGGGAACGAGGTGGGCTGGCTCCCAGGGCTGGGGGTGGGGTGGGGAGCCACGCTTGGGGGGAGGGGTGCATTCCTGAAGGGGAGGGGTGGGGACCCAGACATGGGTCAGGGGAGCGGCCGGGGGCCTGGACTCCTGGATCCCTGATGCCTGCTTCTGCCCATCCCAGCCCTCACTAGGTGTCGGCAACCCCACGCGAGCCCTCCTGTTCGTCATTCTCTGTCCGGTGGGCGCATACTTCCCTGGAGATGCTTTGAGTCCTGTCTCTCTCCTGGCCGACCCATCATTCATCCGGGCCTGGGTGGGTGGGGTCGGTGACTACAAGCTGGGGGGGTAAGTAGTCCCTCGCCCCCCGCCCGCGGTCTGGTGCACTAGGTGTCAGAGACACAAGGTGTGTCTTTGGATGTCCAGTGGCTTTCTCGTCCTGTTTCACTTGGTTGGGGACAGCTGCGCTTGCATGTTGGGATGTACTGTCATTGGCACCGTGGTGCGCGGGGATGGAGGGGCGGGTACCAGGGTGTGTGCTAAGTGCTGTGGACAAATCAGCCCAGAGACTGGAAGGGGTTGGGTGGAGGTAAGTGGAGAAACTCGGACTCGCCCTCAGGGAAGCCTCCAGAAATGAAATTTACACTTAGCTCACTGGTCTCTCCTCCAGGTAGCCTCCCCTGAAAACCCAGGCTCCGCCAGCTCCCATAGTTCCCTGGGGCTCCAGCGCCCATCACCCTGTGTGTGGACTTTCTGTGTACATCTGTCTTTCCAGGGTCCTTGGCTCAGCAGGGCAAGGAGGGTTAGGACGGGGATAAGGCAGAGGGCGGGGTAAGGGTGTGTTGGGACAGCAAGTGTGGCCCCAGCTGGGAGTTCATTTGGGTCCTTTCAAAATACATCTTGTGAGGTCTCCTGAGGGCCAGGCCTTATGCTGGGTGAAGCTGGGGGACACAGATGAATCAGATCAGGGCCCTGCCCTCCAGGGGCTCCCAGGCTGGTGGGAGCCCCAGTATCTGGGGCAGCATGTGCTCTGGTGGAGGTGACCGGGACATTGTGAAAGTCTTTATAGAGGAGGTCTGATGGGTAGAGAGGAGATGGTTTCCTGGATACAAAAATGGTAAACAATTTCTAATCCTCGGGACACATGTGTAGGGGCAGGGAGGAGGGGCAGAGTCAGGGAAGGAAAAATGAGTCTCGTTTTTTGCAAAAGGCTTAACACGGAGTCCCGGGCCAGGCCCAGCCCTGGGACTGAAGGGCTGGGATCTTGTCCCAGAGGCAGTGGGGAGCCATGGGAGGCTTGTGAACAGGGAAGGGGTGAGGTCCGCTCTGGGTGAGAGACAGTGAGTGTTAAAACAGGGCGATCTGGGAAAACATAGAGGTGGCCCAATTTACTGGGAGAGCCCAGAGAAGGCCTGAAACCCATCCTGGAGGTTCAGTAACGCCTCTCAGAGGAGATGACATCACAGGTGGTTTTGAGGGACATTGGAGGATTTGGTCAGTTGAGGAACTGGGTGAGGAGGGTGATCCGCAGAGGAAACAGTGGTGCATTTGTGATCTGGAGAGAGGAGAGATGGAGGAGGGGTGATTGAGATCCTTGACCCCAGGCTACTGGCCAGGGATTCTGTCCTGGGGCCACTAGGGAGCCATGGAAGGGCTGTGAGTGGGGGAGGAGCAGGGTCAGCCCTGGTCGGGTCCCCATGTCGGGCCACGCTGGGGGATGATGGGAGTGCCTTACCCTGGTCCACTGTGTTGCTGTCCACCAGGAATTACGGGCCCACCGTGTTTGTGCAGCAGGAGGCCCTAAAGAAGGGGTGTGAACAGGTCCTGTGGCTGTACGGGCCTGACCACCAGCTCACTGAGGTGGGCACCATGAACATCTTTATCTTCTGGACCCACGAGGATGGGGGTGAGCCCACCCATGACCCAAGCCAAGCCCTGGCAGAAGTGGGTGGGAGCAGAATGCTTAGTGGATTGCAGGTCTCAGGGGTTAGGGGTGCGTGGGGTGGCCCCTAAGAGGATGGGAGGGTGTGCCTGAGGGTGTCAGGTAACGCCCCCATCTCGTACACCTGACCCAGCGCTGGAACTGGTGACCCCCCCACTGGACGGTGTCATCCTGCCTGGAGTAGTTCGACAGAGTCTGCTGGACCTGGCTCGGACCTGGGTGAGGGCACGGTGTCTTTGGGTGGCCGGAGTGCTGGGGTACTGCTAGGTTGGGGGGCCAGAGTATGGGAGGGGCGGTCGGGGTGGGCTGGGGCACAATGGCACGTCTTCCCTCCTCCGCCTCCCAGGCGCTGTCCTTACAGAGGGAGCGACAGGGCTCTGCAGCAGGGCAGCCCACCACCGGGCTCAGATGTATCTGTGTCTTGCCTCACAGGGTGAGTTCCGGGTGGCAGAGCGTAAGATCACCATGAAGGAGTTCCTGCAGGCGCTGGAGGACGGCCGGGTTCGAGAAGTCTTCGGTTCAGGGACCGCTTGCCAGGTCTGCCCTGTGCACCGAATCCTGTACCAAGGCAAGGTGAGGAAGGGCTGCCCTTGGCCATGAGAGAGAAGAAGGGGGAGGGGCACCTCCTCACGGCCCTTTCTTCCCCAGCACCTCCACATTCCCACCATGGAAAATGGGCCTGAGCTTATCCTTCGCTTCCACAAGGAGCTGAAGGCGATCCAGGTGAGGTACACTTGCTGGGAAATGGGCTGGATGCTTGTTCCGTTCCGCAGAGAAATTCACATCCCGTGAGCCTCTGGACTGAGGCTCCCCTCCCCCTCCCCCACAGTCCTCCCATCAGCCTCTGGGCCCGGGATTGAGTCTGCTTTCCTTGAGCCTCTGCGGCCTAGCACACTTCTTGGGGCTAAATGATCCTTTTCTGTGCACCTCTGGAGCTCTGGCTTGAGAAATCCCCATCCCATGAGCTTCTGGGACCTTAAGCCAGCCTCTGGCCACTGAGGTCCGATCCCCAAGGATCCCCAGGAGCCCTGGGCTATTCCTCTGGCCTGAGAAATCTTGCTCCTACAAGCCTCTGGACCATGGCCCCCTCTGTGGCCTAGGAATGTTTCCTCTCATAAGCCTCTGGAGTTACCTTCATTCGCCTGGACCGAGGTATCTTGCCTTTCCTGGCACTCGTGTGAGCGTCTGTAAACTCCCGTGCATCCGGACCTGGAACTACCTCTTGTCTCAGCTGAAAACGACTTTTTCCCAGAGCCTTCAGGGTCTTACAAGAGCTCCTCTTTGCAGAACTACATCTCCCGTGAGCCTCTGCGCCATCCTTGCCACGACTCCCCCTCCCTGTGATTTTTGTCCCTCCCTGTGATTTTTGGTGGGCTACTGGGAAGTGGAATACACTTCCCATGAGGTCCTGGGGCGCAACTTCGCCGGCACTCAGCTTGGGACGCCGCAGGGCCTGCTGGGAGTTGTAGTGTGGCTTCTCCTCACCTCCGCCTGTGTTATCCCGCAGTATGGAACAAAAGCCCACGAGTGGATGCTACCTGTGTGATGCTGCGGGCTGTGCCGGACCACTCCACGGATCCACCGACCTGTAGCATCCAGTCCCTGTTGGACCTAAGCCTCCATACCAGTGATTCACCTGAAGTGCAATATGAAATAAAAGACGGCGGGCCGGGACGCCAGGGTTTCCGGTGCACCCACGTTACACTCCCAAAGCCATAAGGGCCCGACCCAAGTGTCTTGGCCCCTAGCCCCGCCACTCAGGCCTTGGGGACCTGGACTCCCCGCTGCTCTGTGTTGTGGGGTCAAGGATACACCTTGACTCAGACTCTGCATCTCTATTTTCAGGCCGGATCAACCGGTGCTGCTGTTGATTTTTTTCCTAGCTGCAATTTTGAAATAAAATGCCAAAGAACAAGCCATTAGGTGTCATCTCCAATGATGCAACTCAGGGACTCTAGGGTCTTAACCAGAAATCCCCGCGTTCAGCCCATTTCATTTTCAAGGGCCCAGAAATCCAAGCCCCCTGTGTCCTGGCGGTTTCTCTGACTGGAGAGATTTTTCTGCTTCCTCACAAGTTGAGCTTAGCATCTTCCCCCACTAAGCCGTGCCTCCCCCGCTGCCACATCTTGGGGACAGCCCCCGGGTATATTCCAGTCACTAGGCCAGACCCCTCAGCTCTGTACCCCTTCCCCCAAAGCCCATGAGTCCCCAGCCCTGTCCTCCTTCCCCAGACTCTGCCCTGTCTGTCTCTTCTTCTTGGCTTCAGCTCAGAGCTTGTCTCCTGCCTGGACCCTTCTCTTGGCCTCCAGTTTGACCCAGAAGGGGTCTTTCTACACCCAGAGCTGCCCCTGCAGGACCAGGTATAACTGGTTGCAGATCTGGCTTCAAACCTGCCTCTGTTATCTGCTTGGTGTGTAAACTGGCGTCTGCCACCTGACCTCTGATCCAGTTTGTTGGAGGGAGACCCTGTGGGGCTATTGGGCAGACTCCATCTGTGGCCTGTCCAGCAGCCATCAACTTTGGGACTAGAATTCTGATTTTAGGGGCAGCAGCCAACCAGTGCCACACCCCCTCATTCCCTTTTGTCAATTGTTGCTCAAGGGAAGGCCACAGGCCAAGGGGACACAGGGGGAAATTTGCCTGGAGGCCTCTGGGAAAGCTGTCTTCCCTCGATAAAACACTCCAAAAGACCTACCTCTTCTTTTCTTCTCTACCTGCTTTGTCTGAGATTACCTGCAAGTGTGATGCTTGGAGCTGCTGCAGCCATTTCTTGGCCAAGAATGCCAAGGCCTGCACACTGAAAGACCCAGCTCCTCCAACTGGAAAATGTCTGATTTCTGGATTGTTTTGTTTAAAAAAAAAAGAGCCAAGACAAAAACCCATTTAAGTCACTTTTGTCAGGTCCTTTATCTTTTGTTATTTGCAGTTGTGTGTGTGTGTGTGTGTGTGTGTGTGTGTGTGTGACTTGCAGTCAAAAGCTTCTTTGCTTCCGTGCATCTCCAGATGGCTAGAGCTGACTGCATCCAGGGAGAATCCCTGATTCTAGTAGCCAGTTCGGTTGCTGGCCAGTGACTTGGTCCCAAATGAAGACCTAGGCCAGATTTTTATCTTAGATTTGAATCCTAAGGGAATGATCAGGAAGGGGTAAGTAGCTGTTGCCTGGGAAAAAAAGTACGCAAACTGAAAGTTGAGAATTATGTTTTATTTGGCAGACAAAACAGGGGACTTAAGCCAGAGACACAGCATTTTAGATAGCTCTAAGATACTGCTCTGAAGAGGCAAGGAGGTGGGGGGAGCCAGGATATATAGGAGTTTTTGCAACGAAGACCAGGTAGTCAGAACGTCAAAAGATTACTGTTAGTTAAAGAAAATCAGGGACTTCCCTGGTAGTCCAGTGGTTAAGACTTTGTAACAGGGAAGAGTCAATTTTGACTCCACTGTTGGATCTGTTTGACCTTTGCTTTCTGTTGCTTTTGTTATTATAATCATACATAATGGCCTGCCTCAGGGAACCCTGCCCCTTTGCCTGAATGTTAGACTAAAGTGCCTTTGTTCAGCTAACAGGGAGACAACCTGACCCTGTCCACCTGTGAATGGCTGCAGGAAAGAAATTAATACATCCCCTCCCCATGCTGGCCGAGCCAGGCCAAATGAATGGTCTTTTTACTTGACTTCCTTACCTCCTCCCCGTCTCTGTTCTATAAAAGAAACTGGCATTCAGACCCCAATAAGATGGTTATTTTGAGACACTAGTCTGCCATCTTCTCAGTCTGCCAGCTTTCTGAATAAAGTCGTTATTCTTTGCCTCAACACCTCTGTCTCCGAGTTATTGGCCTGTCGTGCTGGAGCAGAGTGAGCTTGGACTCGGTAACAACTTTGCCTTCCAATGCAGGCTTCGATCCCTGGTCAGGGAGCTAAGACCCCACATGCCTTGTGGCCAAAAACCCAAAACATAAAGCTGAAGCAATATTGTAACAAGTTCAATAAAGACTTTAAAAATGGTCCACAACAAAAAAATCTTAAAAAAAAAAAAGAAAGAAAGAAAACCAGATACCTCAAGGAATTTAGTGCCTTGTTTTTGTTTTTGTTTTGCCCAGCCACGCTGGCTTGCAGGATCTCAGATGTCCAACCAGGGATTGAACCTGGCCCACAGCAGTAAAAGCCCAGAATCCTAACCATGAGGCCACCAGGGAACTCCCACACTTTTCTATGTATGGGAAGATGCAAGAGTCTGGGCTCATTGAAATAATTCCTTTGATATGCACCTCAGCTATCTGGGGCCAGTATCCTGTGCTTTCTTATCCTGAGTCTCCTCTGGGTGCACCGTCGGGGGGTGGGGCTTGGGGTGTCGGCAGCAGTTGACTGCTTGATGGCTGGCATCCTGTTTCTATCTTGAGTTCCCTCAGGGCTCACCATTAGGGCGGCAGTAATGTAACAGCTTGATGGCTGCAGCATCGTTTATGTACTGATATGGCAGGCAACATTTTTTTTATTGACATAGCCATTGTTTTGAGATAAAAAAGGCAGAGGCCCTCCTGAGGAAACAGGCTCAGAGAGGTAAACTCACTTTTTCTTTCTATTTATATATATATATTTATTGTAGTATAGTTGATTTACAATGTTGTGTTAATTACTGCTATACAGCAAAGTGATTCAGTTATACGTATATATATTCTTTTTGTAAAATATTCTTTTCCATTATGGTTTCTCATAGGATATTGAATACAGTTATCTGTGCTATACAGTATAAACTTACTTTTTTTTTTAGCTGCGTTGGGTCTTAGTTGCTGCAAGCGGTATCTTCTTTGAGGCACATGGGATCTTTTGTTGCACTGCGTGGGCTCCAGAGCACTTGGGCTCTGTAGTTTGCAGCACACAGGCTCTCTCATTGAGGCATGCGAGCTCAGTAGTTGCGGTGCGCGGACTGAGTTGCCCCGTGGCATGTGGGATCGTAGTTCCCCGACTAGGGATGCAACCCTCGTCCCCTGCACTGGAAGGCGGATTCTTTACCACTGGACCACGGGGGAAGTCCCTAAACTTACTTTTTAAAGGTCACTTGAGGCAGAAGCACCTGAGAGTAAACAGAGACATATGTTGACATGCAATAGGTTAACTATTGTTATTCTTAAGTGAACGAATGAATATTTTGTTAATTTTCTGTCATAATTTCTAATTCTATAAATATGGATAGATGTAACCCACATAAACTAAAGCTCTTAAATGTTCTCAGTGATTTTTTTTGCAGTACGCGGGCCTCTCACTGTTGTGGCCTCTCCTGTTGCGGAACACAGGTTACGGACTCGCAGGCTCAGCGGTCACGGCTCACGGGGCCCAGCTGCTCCACGGCATGTGGGATCCTCCTGGACCGGGACACGAACCCGTGTCCCCTGCATCGGCAGGCGGACTCTCAACCACTGCACCACCAGGGAAGCCCATTCTCAGTGATTTTTAAGAGTGTAAAGTGATTTTTGGTCTCAGGACCAAAAAAGTTTAAGAACTGCTGTCCATGGACAATGCCTGGCACTTAGCAAACCGATGTCAGTGTTGGTTAAATAACAAAATAAGCAACAAATCTGATATGGTTGCAATTTATCACATAAAAGAACTTTGTTTCTTGTTTTGCATTCATAGACATTTTAAAGAGTCCAAGCTTTTTCTGTTTGAGACAGACATTCCGTAGGAAGATTCCAGCAGGCTTACTTAGCATTATTGCTTCATTTGATCACTTTTCAATGTGAATAAGACACTTAGGTTGCAGATGAGAATTATTGGGGTACACACATTCACATTTCAGATAACCCTCATATGTTGCCTAATTAAAGATCAACTTTTTTTTTTTTAATCCCCTAACAGCTGTGTGATGTTGGGGAAGTGAGTGCACCTCTCTGAACCTCAGTTTTCTCATTTCTAAAATGAAGATCACGGCTTCCCTGTGGCGCGGTGTTTGAGAGTCTGCCTGCCGATTCAGGGGACACGGGTTCGTGCCCCGGTCCAGGAAGTTCCCACATGCTGCGGAGCGGCTGGGCCCGTGAGCCATGGCTGCTGAGCCTGCGCGTCCGGAGCCTGTGCGCCGCAACGGGAGAGGCCACAACAGTGAGAG